GGGTTCTCTGTGGAGCTAAGTGGCCTCTGAATGAACCATCATGAGTCACATTATGACTTTCAAATGAGACGCTTGTGTATTTAAATCAAGCAGCTGCTGTTTCAGAAGATAAAGTGAAGAGTGGAGCGGTGCATTCGATGACTCATCACATAAAGAGCTCGCCACTAATTTCAGTTTCCTGTTTCCCGGACCAAAGATTTTCCTCGTCCACAAGTTAGCTCAAACCATCAGTCGTCTAATCCTCGAACGTTGGTGACATTCGATGATATCAAATCTTAATTGTGTTTCTGAAAATTTGAAAACAACAAAAACCTGAGCGATTGTTGTGTTTTCCACCTTGAATTGATGTAAAACAATCCAACGCCAACCTCTGTCAATGTGACACATCTTCGACTGCAGTCTACAAAAAGTGAAAAACACAAACAGTAACACAAGGTTTGTGTCAACGAGCAGAAGAAAACCTGCAACAACCAACCAATAAAAAGCTCTTGATGAATCTTAACGAGAGAATCCAGATCCTGACGATCACGACACGGTGAACTGATAAACTATGTGGTGTTTAAACCGACCTGTATCATATTGTGTTGTAAAGAGGATGTAGAGACGTATTGAAGACGAGGAAGGAGATGAGGTAAGTGAAGAGGAGACGAGAAGCCACGTGAACGGGGACAATTGAAAGAGGACGGAGTGAGGACAGAGGGATTAGAGTGAGGGACGTGTCTCTGTTAGAAGCTTTGTGAACAGCAGTAACTTCATTAAGTCTGGTTGATGTTTCTGCAGCACAGCCTGAATACTAATACTCACATATCCTCTGTGCTCGACTCATCGCCCTCGATTCAGAACCTGCTCTATTCCGACTCTCTGTCCTTTCACCGACTCTTTCTGTCTCCTGCTCCGCTGCACTTCTCCAATTCCTCCTGAGCCTTTTTCTTCTGAAAATGAGGACAAAGACAAACTCCAGGGACAAAATGAATCTCAGCTGCAGGCGAGTGATTATCAAACACTATTAACGCTGCGTTCCAGGAACTCAGAAAACCAGATTTTACAACGGAGGGTCTTACTCGTGAACACTACCGCTTTCCATGGACACCGATAATCTGACATTAACCAGATTAAAACAACAATCTGAATAAGTCACTGACACGTATACATCATCTTCTGATAAAACCATAGTCTGAATAGACAATAATATAATTCAGACATGACTTTAGTCAAACTATGTGGACATTTCTACGTCTTCATCACATTATAATGAGTTTTCATGTTCTGGGTTTGAGTGTAAACAAGACGGAAAAATGAAGCTGAAGATGAAGCTTTTGTAAAACTATAGAGAAAAACACTTGAAAGTAAAATTATACATTGTGGATTAAACACTGAAAATGGTTAATAATCAACGTAAAGTACATCTGCCGGTATTTTAAACTATCACGTGGTAAAAGTTTATTCTACATGTAAACTGAAACTGAAAATATGACGTCGACCTGTCAAGTTTTAAACGAAATAAATTTCACGGCGTTCAGCGTTCTGGAACACCTCGAGTCTGGAAATTAGAAATCTTCAATTCCGATTCCCGCCGCTGAATGAACGCAGCATTAGAATACTTTAAATAAATAAAAGCATAAAAACCCAAACTGAAAAGTGATAAAAAACTTGTAATAACAATTAAAAAAGTTCCTGTGAGCATTAAGACACATTTATCAAACCACTTCCTGCTACGTACAACAAGGTGACGCAGAGTAAAGTCACAGAGCAGCTCCCGAGTGACCACATCACATCGATCTTCAGCAGAACGAGCCAATCAGACGAGAGGATTTGCACCTCATCCGCTGAGCTGTTCGTTAAAAAAGAAATAAACTGATTCCTCAGTGATATGTTCTTCTCAAAAGTGTAATCTTAATTATTTAAAAGCTTCTTTTTATTTGAGTGAAATCCTCGATATCTCAAACAGCAATAAACATGTAAAATTAACAATAGAATATATTTAGAATGTATAAATAGGAATTAAATAAGAAATCGGTTGAAAAAGAAACTAAATTCTAAAAAAGTGTGGTGCAACATTCTATTACATATATGAATAAAATGCAAACAGTGGGATAAAACTACCACTTTTCTATCAGCTGATGTAGTTTTCATCATCAATTAAGATATTTTGTACAATTAATGAAAACAAGTTTAAGAAAGGTCCCGTTTTAAGAAAAATCGCTTGTCGTCATTTGAGTGTTTTCATTTACAGCTCGATGAATACGAGCCCTGGTTGTGTGGACGTTAAATATGAGCAGACGTGTGTAAGGCTGTTGATCTAATCTATCACGATACGCTGATGACTCACTATTCTACACACAGCATCGCGCCACGCTCTGTAGATCTACACAGTTTTCAAAGAGTCGAGTTGATGGTGATGGGAATTGTAGTGTCTGGTGCTAAAAGAGAGAAAAATGTCCTCTGACAGTTTTCATACAACCGAAAATAAACGAACCCACCGAGAAATCCTTGGTTTTCTTTGTTATGGCCTTTCTACCTACATTTATCTTCAAGTTTGATGTTTTTATTCGTTTTCTTTTTTTAAAGTTAAATTTCATCTTGCTAGTTGAAGAAGTTCACACGGTACAAGCTGTCGTTGTCAGGGTTAGAAGAGCGTTGTCCTCCTCCTCGTTCTTTTCACTGAGAAGGAGAGCTGTGTGTCGTAGGTCCCAGACGAGGAGCCGAAGAACTTTAGCATCGCATCATCAGGTCCAGACTGAAAAGTCGTGTCCTTGGATGATCGCGTCCTCGTCCAGTATTTGTGGAATAGTTCTCCCTGTTGGTTTTTCGGATCCTGAAAAAGACAAAGTCCCGAATCTTCCGGTTTTACACAGAAGTGCTTGTGTCACCAGAAGGTCATGAGATTCTAGCCAGTTAGCATCTTGTAGCAGCGTCCTGTAGCATCAACTGTTCCCTTTCCTCTGCTTTTCTTTTAAGCCATTAGCCACCCTTAGCTAGCCGACAACATGACAACCACTTCGCCTGTGAACTTTGACCTCCTCTGGGGGGAAGTTGCCTGTCATACCCACTCCTGAACCGGGTATTTGTAGTAGGGCTGTGCTATGGTGTTCTGCTGCACTCCTTTGTTTTTGAACTGGAAGATCGTGTAGACCAGCACCAGGATGCACAGAGACAGGATGCAGGGGATCACCACGGCAATGGCGTTGACCGTCGTCGGGACGTCATTGATGGTCACCATGATGTCCACGTCGTCGAGGGGCAGCTGGCGGTCACCGCGGTTTCCGCTGCCGCTGGAGCGTTCCATGTCGGACTGGTCGCAGCCCATCCAGTCACGTAAGATAGATTTTGGATATCCAGGTTCTACCGTCAGCTTCTGGTTGTCGAACTTCCAGTAATCCTTCCCCTTGTAGAAGTAGGTGTAGTCTGAGGAGGTAAAGGGAAGAGAAAGACAGGGGATTCATATTTGATACATTCAGATGGATCACATTGTGATCATTATATGCCCATGACTCCACACTGTGTAGATCTGGAATGTTTTTAAAAAGTTTCTGTCTGACTGGTTGAGGGAGGATTCAAGTCGCCAACGGGTTGATGGCGATGGGAGACTGAAAATAAACCAACCCACAGAGAAAACCCTGGTTGTCTTTGTTTGACCTTTCTACCTCCACACATACGAGCTGATTGATTTTCAGCCTCAGAAGAGCTTAACTCCTCATTTCAATCGGCCGCACAAGTCACGGGGAGTCGGGTGAAGGAGACGTAAAAGTCTCTTTATATATTCAGATCTAAGAACACGCAGCACTGATGCTTCTGTAACAAGAACAGAGGTTCATTATCTCAAATATCACAGATAATAACACCCAAACATCACTGTCCTAAAGGAAACATTCAGTGACTGTGCTTTTCTTCACATGTTCCGCTCAAGTGAAGAACGTCTTCAGTGTCCTCAGCCCCCCCCCCCCCCCCGGTGCAGAATCTCATTAGAGGCAATAACATTTCTATTGTGACTCAGTGTTTCTCTGCAGCTTCAGAGTTTTGGTCCCAGTAGTTTTTTTTAATTGAAGGGCGGGACGCCTGAGAGACGGAGCTGAGGGAAAAAACGGGACAGTGTGTGAGAGAGAGATACAGAAGGAGGGAGGAGGAGGAGAGAGAAAAGGAAAGGAAGGGAGAAAGGACAAGACCCTAGTGATAACAGAGAGAGAGACAGAGAGAGAGAGAGAGAGACAGTGTGCACATCTTATCAACAGAAAGCCCAGAAGGTTTCTCCTGATGTCCACATCCTTGTCTGCTTCATCACCTCCAAACAGCCAAAAGGAAACACACACACACACACACACACACGCGACTCCCTCTGAGGAAGCCGTGAGGTCACGAGGTCTCAGCTCAATAAGCAGATGTGATGAGTGGCAGTTTTCTTCGGGGAGAGAAGACGCACTGACTGTGAGAGTCTGGCGTCTTCGCTCGTGGCTTTTTTACACTTTTGCAGCGTAAACACTGGACGAAGAGAGAAAATCCTTCATGGACGAGGGAGAGCTGCAAACACAAGCTGACACGTGCCCAAAGAGGATATGATGCCACCTTCAGGTGACGCAATGAAAGGCACCGTTACCTTAATTAAAAATACAGATTTCTCCAGGTGAGGTTGTCAAATGTTTGACTGATGGACCAGTAAAAAGCAGTTAACGTTGTACTTCAGAAAAAGTTATTGTACATTTAAATAAGAAACTGTATAGGATCTTATCACTATTGTATGATATGGACAATGGGGACATCTTCATAACTCAGTGAAAAGACAGTGACAGAGAAACTCACAGCCCTCTCTGCTGATGAAGGCCCCCTGCGGAGCATCTGGGATTCCCTTCCACACAGTGATGGGTTTGGGGTACCCGGGGTCAGCGGTGCGCTTCTCCTCGTTATAGCGCCAGTACTGATCCCCTTTAAAGAAGTAGGTCTTCCCCACCGGCTCCCAGCGCAGCGCCGTGTCGATGCCGTCTTTGGGGAGGCAGCTGCCCAGCTCCACCAGACTGTGAGGGTAACCCGGCTCGGCCGTGACCTCCTTGAACACCCAGTACTTATCACCTGGAAGACGTGAGGAGACCCAGGTCAGAGTGTAAATAACCATTTATATGTATACTCATAATATTAATGTTGTCAGTGCTTCACATGCTGCACAGATGTGACTCCTGAGATCTGAGCTGAACGCTGTGATTCAGGAGGTGAGATCGCTCAAAGCTCAAATGATCTATCGAGCAGACAACTTCAAAAATTAGAGTTTAGAATAAAATTCCCTTCGTGTTTCCACTGACTGTGTTTCCATGGTGATCTGTGGTGAAGGCCAGTAACAAAGTTAGAGAGTTTCATACTAAAAAAAAACCGACTCATAAATCTGTTACTTTTCCTTCTCCTATGACGTCACTCTCCGTTATCTACGACTTTATTCTCGTAATCTCAGATTTCTTTTCCTTAAAATGGCCCTTATACTCCGTCGTGGTTTTGAGACTTGAACTTAAACTTAGTCTGTGTATGACACACTGTGTTTGTGTGTGTTTGTCAAAGCCTGGTTGAGCTGTGTCATTGTGTGTCCACGTGTGTGTGTGTGTCTGTGTGTGTGTGTTTGTGTGAGAGCGAGTCGGCAGCTGAGAGACCAAAGCTATTAATACCTGCTCCTGGCTGGCTGCGATAGCAGGACGTTGTCAGAAGATGTTAGAGTGTGTGTGTGTGTGTGATACAGAGAGAGTGAGAAAGAGTGAGAGAGATGGAAACAGAGAGAGAGAGAGAGACGACTCCACGGTAAGCAGGGCTGACGTAGGTTTCATACCAGTCGACTGAGATTCTATTACTTTGTGCTGGGAGCTCCCCTCTGCATCGACATTCTCTATTTCACACTTTATTAAATGTTGCTTGAGGAGGCGTGTAGCGAGCAGGAGCCTCAGCAGATGGTCGACAGAGATCTGGACGTCCCTCTGTCAGTTGGCAAAGTTTGCTCCACTGGAGTGAAATCAGGTGATTTTTGAGAAAACTAAATTTCACCGATATTTGTGAAAGAAACTTCCATGAGCGAGAGAGTTTAACGGCCCGGTTCCCTCCACGATGGGTCAAGGGAAAAAGTTCTTGTTCGTACCTTTGAAGAAGACAAATTTGCCATCGGATCTCTCGTAGGCGGCGTCGATGCGAGGGGGCAGACCTTTCCAGAACTGATCGATCTGCATGGGGTAACCCTCCTGCACCTTGTTGTTCCTCAGACGCCAAAACCAGCGATCCTAGGACATAATGAGTTTAAATATTCAGCATCAACAGCAACTTTATTAAGAACGACACCAGCAGCCTCATTCAACAAAAGTCCAAATGAGTCACCAAGGTTTAAAGAGGTTTCTGAATCACTGAGTTACTGCAGGTTTCTAAAGAAGTCAGATGGTTGTTGTAACTCAGCGGACGTGGGCACACAAGCACAAACTCCTCAGTTCACCATAAACAGATGTTGACATGCCGTCAAAGCCCTCAATGAAAAGAATTAAGTGTGATTGTTGTTCCACATATGCAAGTTTTTCAACGATGACAGAGCTGCTGCTCGTTATACAGCTAATTCATAATACATGCGTGTTTGAGGTAAAGGTCTCCTCAAGAGACCTGTGAACTGTCACATGTAGACAGCTCTGATGAAAATTTAAAAGCTTCTGCTTTTAACAGCCGATGTGAGATTGCACAGCTGCTTTTGGATTTGAGAGCTTCCTCTGACACGATAGACCACTCTCTTCTCCTCCACCTTCTTCAAACCTGGTCTCTGCACTAAACGTACTATTTTCATACCTCTTCAATAAAACCACCAGCTCCTCTGTTGCCCTTTTTGATTGCGGTGTTCCTCAAGGCATCATCCTTGGCCCACTGCCATTCTCAGTAGACATGCTTCCAGATGACACACAGCTCTATGTTCCATTTAAAACTAATGACAGCACCCAGAAGCCTTAATAATCTATTTGCCAGACATTGAGTTCTGGCTATCGCAGAATTTTGAAACATCTAAGTGAATTCCCTCAAGGTTTTTGTAAGATGATGCGTTCACACGACCATAACCATGTTAGTCACAGTCACCTTGACCTTCAACCACCAAAATAAAATCAGTTCATCCTTGAGTCAAACTAAACATTGGTACCAAATCAATGAGTTATTGAGATTACGTGTTCACAAGAATCAGACCGACGTAGAACCTGAAAACATAGCATAGAACCACTAGCAGTCTCCATCGCTGAGTCATTAAAATAAGGAAGAGAAACAAGGGGTAACAAGAAGGACAAACAGAAGGGACGCAGAGAAGACACAGGGCGTAAAAGGACAGATGACAAAAGATAAGAGAAGTGAGGGAAGGTGAGAGGAGGAAGAAAGAAAGAAGAGAAGACAAGGAGGAGGAGAAGGCAAAGCATCAATCTCAGCTCCTCATCATTTGGATTCAGTGAATCTAGGACAAAGCGGAGCATGGTCCCCAAAGACACACACACACACACACACACACACACAC